ATTCATTCAACATCATGCATGAAAGCTGCCTGCCCTATAGGAACTCATGACCCAGTGGGGAGAAGGAGGCTATTGAAATCATGAAGGCACAGGATCAAAAGTACTGGGAAACCACAACACTAACATAACTTCCCAAGTGTGATTCACAAGGAAGATACAGCACTTCATCCTTTGTTAAGAAAATCTTCCCAGCAATGACAAGCGACTGACAAGAGGGGACTGCGGGGCATGGCGAGGAAGGAGCTCTCCACCACTCTAGCAGAGACCAGAGGCCCTTTTGTTAAGGCTGTGGGAAGGGGATTCCTGCTCTGTGCAGTGCTCAGGTGAGGCTGGGCTTCCCCTCAACAGCTGTGGGATTCTAAGGGGTCCCTGAGTGCTGAGTACAAATCCCACAACACCCCTGATGAGCTCCATGGACTCAGGCACATTACCTAATCTCTCTGTGCCTTGATTTCTTCACCTGTAAATGGGGGTAATCACAGTGAGGACTGAATACATTAACGTTTATAAGCCTTTTGGAACATGACCCAGCACAAAGAGCTTCATGCCCCTCCATAAGTAAGGCGGTGAGGGGCCCCCCTGTGAAAGTCTAAATCCCAGACTGGATCACTGGAAGATTCAGTGTCAAAGGTTCTGAGGCAGAAAGTTTCTCAGATGCTAAGGCTCTGAGATTGGAAGAGACTGGGATTCTTAGATCCTATAATTTGATCATCTCATTATTTCCAAACAACAGTGCAGAGCCTCCCAGGGGAACAGGGGAGCGAGCTTGGTGTCACTTCATCTCCCAGGAGCCTCCACTGCCACACCTGGGCTCCCCAGCATTTCCTCACCTCCACTAAAGCCCTAGCCACACCATGCTGGAATCACCTGCTCATTCACCTGCACAGGCTTTAAGCACGTTCTAGTAGTGGAGACAGGCAAGAGTGCAAATAAACAAATAAATGAAACAGTTTTGGATACTGGTAAGAGCTGTAAGAGACCATGCACAGGGGCTGATTTGACCAAGTGACAGTGGGAAGCTATTACACAGAAGGTGGTCGGAGAAGCCCCTCCGAGGAGGTGACCGCTGAGTCAAACCTGTAAAACAAGAAGGTGCCAGCCATGCAAACATTTAAGGAAAAGCATTCCAGGTAGGGACTCTGCAAAGGTGCAGCCAACAGGCTTTGAAAATATGAAGTGCAGAAAGACGCCAATATGGCTGGAGGTGGGGAGGAGGAGGCAGCTGGGGTTGAGGGATGGGTAGGACTGGACCATGAAGGGCCTTGTAGGCCTGCAAATTTTTGTTCTTCAAAATGCCTAGGAAACATCAGAAGAGCTTCAGCAGTGAAATGACAAGGCAGGCAGAGTTTTCAGGGTCCCCAGATCATTAGGCCCATCCTGCAAATACCACAACGGTTTTCAAAATCAAGGTGGGACTTAGGTTGGTGATCAACAATTCTTTTAATTCAGTTGGTGTATATACTGAGCTCCTACCACATTCCTGGCCATGACTGGGAGACATCACAGGCACTTAACTATCACTCCCCAAAACCCCTGACTCACAGAGAATACCCTGTTTTAAAGATAAAGAAACTGAGGCTCAGAGAGGGAAAGAATGTGCCCAAACTGACAAGCCAGGCACCACACCGTGCAAATTATAAAGTCCAATTCACAGGTGGGACTTGGTCCCAGGACACAGATCCACCATGGTGATGGTCTGTGGGACTCTTGGTATTTTCAAGCCTCCTCGCATCTGAGAGACCTTCCCAAGAACACTGCCCCACCGCCAGTGCTTTCCGCACCTGTGGTCTCATACTTTCTTCCCTGCTGTCTTAAGAGTCCCAGAGGACTGTTTGGATCTCACATGGCTATCCCACCTGAGCCAGGGAATGGATGGAGGGATGGAGGGAGGGATGGAGGGAGGGAGGGATGGATGGATGGATGGATGGATGGATGGATGGATGGATGGATGGATGGATGGATGGATGGATGGATGGATGGGTGGGTGGGTGGATGGGTGGGTGGATGGATGAATGGGTAGGTAGGTGGGTGGATGGATGGGTGCATAGATGGACTACTGAGATGACTAACCAATAAACTAATGGATGTACAATGAAAGAATAAAGGAATGATCTAGCAAACCAATGAATGAGCATACTAACCAGTGGCAAATGAATGAATGACAGAAGGAAGGAACAAACGACTCCTACTTTACAGAGAAGCAAGGCAGAGAAACGCTGGGGCCAGGCTAGCTTCAAACCAGTCCACACCTCCCCCACACACCAGCTTCCTGTCCACCTGGGGCCCCAAGACCACAGAGAGCCTATTCTTCAGCCCCAGGGGCAAACCATGTCTCTGCCACGTGCTGACCATTACAGTACCCACAGCCCCATCACCAGTGCCACCAGCAGCAATCACTGCCCTCTGGGAGCCTGGCAGTGGGTAGAGTGGTTCACTCTTCTGCTGAGTGTCTCACAACGGAAAGGAGACAGGATATCAGGGCTCTGGTCCTAGGTGGGACCTGAATTGCTGGGTGACTTTAAGCCAGAGGCTTACCCATTCTGAACCCAGATGACCTCTCAGGGCCTTTTCGGCTCTGACATTCTGTAGAGTTGGGCCTCTAGATTTTTACACACTCTCTGGGGCAGCAGAAAAAGTTGAGAAACCCAAAAGAAGAAGGTGGGAAACATCCTGTCCACATGCACCAAGGTCCAGCTAGGAAAGGGCCCAGACAAGGAGTCTGAAGGCTTGCATGTAAGACCTCGCCTGCTACTGCTCAACTTCTTCAAGTCTCAGTTACTTAACTGATTTTAGTAACTGATTAAATTTTGAAATGAAAAACAAATTTGAATTTGTAAACTATCCCCATCTTAACAATTTCACCCAGCTGAGTATCTGGGGGAGACTGATTGATAACCATGCACTACATCGTGCAAAGTGTAAAGTTCCATTCATTCAGGAAGGATTATGAAGGTGGGGTGTGGGGAGTGAAGGGGAATATGCTGTCCCATTCCAGTCCTATCCCAGGGACCCTTCCAGGGGTCAGGGCACCCAAGAGAGAACAGTGGCAAGGGCTCAGAAGTCTGGGTCCCTGCCTCACCTCTCCTTCTAACTGGCAGTGTCACTTTAGGCAAGTCACTTCCCCTCTCTGGATCTCAGCTTCACCATCCAAAAAATGCCTAGCTTGGTACTCTCTGGCCCAGGAATGCCAAGTTTTGCATCCCTGAACCCCTAAACCACAGCCTTCAACCCTGACTCTGCCTTTGGGGAACTCACACCACCCGGGGAGCCAGGACACAGACCAGCCAGGAAACTAGAGAGGTCTCCCCTCCAGGAGATGCTGGGGCAGGGGTTAGACAGACTGGGGGCTATCTGAACCTCCCAGCACAAAGGGGAGAGACCAGGCCTAACCTGGTGCCTTGGACAGCGCCAACTACTCCAGACCCTATGGGCCTGGCCTTCAGAAACCCTTGCAGCCTGCAAAGCCAGCAGGCCCTGACCTGTCCAGCCAGATACATCGGGAACTTCACCGAAGTTTGAACTGCGTCCTAACATAGGAGCCTTCAGGATGCCAACAGGGGTATCAGAAAGGGGTAAGAGGCTTAGACTAACACCCTTGCTAGCAAACCAGCTCCCCTTCCCACCACACAACCTCTGCTGCCCCCCTCCCCTCAGACAGGGCTCACCGGGGCTGCCCTCCTACACCCAGCCAAGAGCCTACCACCCAGGGGCATTCACCACTAGATGCCACCTTTCTGGGGCCAGGGAGCCCACCAGGTGCGAGAAGAGGCTCTCCCACTGCCAACCGCCAATCACACCTGCGGAGGGCTCCAGAAGCCACTCCAGAGCCCAGGGCAGGGATTCCTGCTACAAGCACCTGGCCACCCATGAAGGAGACAGGCCACCCAACACACACAGCTCCAAGGCAGGGAGGGGGCCAGCTGGATTCTTTCCTCATGCCAGGGGTCTTAACTGGAGACCCTGGGCCCATTCAGATCCTCTACTGCCAGTCCTCTCCTCCAAACCTCGTGATACAGGTCCTTACAATGCCATTTTTATAGAGCCTCTTCCAAAAGACGCTTCCTGGTCCCCGCACACCCACATCTCCAACCCCCCACATCCCTCCTGTAGCTCTGAGGAAACCAGCAGTTAACTTTTTCCCAAAAATCCTGCAAAGGCAGCTGGCTGGGGGTAGAAATGGGCCCTGAGATCCTTTCGCGGCATTTCACTGCCTTCCAAAAAAAAAAAAGCGCTTAAAAAAAAAAAGAAAACTTTCGGAGTTAACTTTAAATTCCTAGCCCTCCCCCCCAAATCGCCCAGCGGCTTCCTTTTTTTTTTTTCCTTTAAAGTGCAATTGCATTGTGTCTCACCTCCCCGAAAGGCTCGCGGCTCTCGCCAAAGAAAAGGAAAAAAAGCCAACCCTTCGGGTGCCCCCTCTGCTTCCAGCCGCCTCTCCCACATTCTCAGACAGTTTTATTAAAATTTTCAGACAAAAGAAAAACAAAAATGGCAGCCTGGCTTATTTTTAAAACAGGACAGGGACGCCATATTCTGCAGATCTGCAAAAAAGGGGAGAAATCCGGCACTGGCCGCTCCACCGGGCCGGCTGCAAAGTGCGCGAACCGCGCCGTTTGCAATCCGTTTATTTGCATTAAGCCCCATGAATCATTGTTTACCGGAGAATTGCAGCAGGTTTGAATAGCCCGGCTTAAGAAAACACACACACACACACGCGCGCGCGCACACACGCACACACACACACACACACACACGCACACACTCGGAGAGCAGACACAGACACGCCGCGGACACACTTCCTACCCCGCGCGCCGCCGCCGCCGCCGCTGCCGCTCCGGGCCGGGCCCGAGGCGCAGGCGGCCCCGGGCCCTCGGAGCGCCCAGCCCGCGCTGACAGCACCCGCGCCCCCGCCCGCAACTCGGCGCAACTTTCCCGCGGGCGGCCGCCCCAGCGGGCTCCCGCCGCCGCCGGCCCCGCTCCCCGTGCCGCGGGCCCGCACGGACCTGGCTGTGCTGGCGGCGGCTCCGGGACGCGGCCGCAGCCCCGCGCCCGGCGGCCCGAGCAGGGCCGGGCTGGGGCTCCGGGCTCCGGCTTCGGCTCCGGCTCCGGCTCGGTGCGGAGCCGCGCGCAAACCTTCCGGGTCGCCTGCTGTTCACTTCTGGGTTCTGCAAGCACCGAGGCGGCGGCGGCGGCGGCGGCGGCGGCGGCGGGAGGCTGGGTCTGCAGCGCCGCGCGGCCCCCCGTGCGCTTGGCGAGCCCCCGCGCCAGGCGCCCGGCTCCGGGGGGGCCGCGTCGGGCCCCCGCCTCTCCGGCTGCGCAGCCCGTCCGGCCCCGGGGGCTCCCGCGAGTGGGCAGCGCCGGGCGCTGGCGACGGCGCGCGAGAGGAGGGCGCCGGGCGGGGGGCGGGGGCGGGCCGCGCGCTGGGGGCCCACCTCGGGCCCCGGGGCCTCGTCTCGCGCTCGCCGCCGCCGCCGCCGCCGCGCAAAGTTGCGCCGCGCCCCCCGCCCGCGCCGCGCCGGAGGCAGAGCCACAAAGGAACTCCTCGCCCCCCTCCGCTCGCCCGAGCCGCGCGGGGAGGGCACCGGCCCTAGGCCAGCCCCTTCCCCAGCGCGGGGGCTCCCGGGGCCCTGGCGGCCGTGGCCATTGTGCCGCCCAGGCCGGGCCGCCCCCCGCCGCCCCCTCCCCGGTGAAGGCGGACTGGGGACCTGGACCCGCCGGGCCACAGCCCAGACCAGGCCGGGCGCGCGCGGGGCCAGGCTGCCCCCGGGGGTCTCCTTCGCGGACGGCACGCAGGAGAGGACCCCTAGAGTGGGCCCCCACACCTGATAACCAACGATGGTGCTCAAAATTCAGGCTGAGATTTTTTTTTTTTTGAGATGAGGACAGGGGAGTAGGGGGCAGAAGTTTGTACAGGCCAGGCCACCTCCCCCTCCGTAGGCTCCGGCCCTCCCTAGCCCTAGGCCCGCGCCCCCGAGGGTGGGGCCGCTCGAGGCTGTCAGCGGCTCTCCCCGCAGAGTCTCTCAGAGGTGGCACCGGCTGTCCCCCAGCTCCAGACCTCCGAGCCATCTGTGTGTGACTCCTCCTCCAGCCTCACCCTCCCCAGCCAATCAGTCACCAAGTCCTTCGGATTCGGCCTCCCGGGCTGAGTGAGCGTCCGAACTTCACTTCGACCTGTGGAGGCAACCAGTTCCCTGGGTCCTTTCACGACACAATTTCTGTGACTTTCACTGGCCCCCAGCCTCTCGGCCAGGGTGAATGAAAGCTGGCCCTGCCTTCAGGGAGCACCCAGGCCCCAGGGCAGGACACAGACGTAAACAATCACCGGCCAGAGTTTGGGATCCTCCAGGAAGCATTCCCCAATTGGGTAAATAGTGATGGAGGACCTACTACCAGACGCCCCTGCTGGTTGGCTGGGAACACAGCTACGAACAAGTTGGACCAAGTCCCTGCCCTCGAGGAGCTTCCAGGCTAGCACACTGTCAAGGCGCCTGTACGAGCACCTGGAGAGCAGTGCCCACAATGGACATGTGTCAAGCCCCAAGCACAGTACCTGGCGCAGAGTGGGACACAACACACTTGTGTAGCGGGAATAGTTGGAATTACAAATCATGGCACGGGGGAGGAGAACGCAGAGGAGGCCACTCTTTTGCTCAGAGCGGTGGAGAAGTTCTTCAGAAATGAGATCTGGGGTGAGCCAGGTGGAGAAGAGGGGAGGGCCTTCCAGTTTCCAGGAAAGTGGGGGTGATAAAAGCATCAAGCCCTTGTTGAGACATTCAGTGTGGTAATAAATTAGTAAGTGGGAGAGGAGCCAAATCTTTTATGCCGAAGAACTCAAAATAATTGATGTAGACACTCAAGGAGGGGGAGCACGGCTCTCCATTCCTTAGGTGTGCGCTACGCGTAATGACTTCCTTTCCGAATGTACAGTTGGGAAGGGAGAGGGGTAAGAGTCACTTCATAGAGGAAAAACCTGACAACTCTAACAGCCAGGTGATCAAGGCTGACATCAACAGTCACATGCCACGTTGACAGTTATGTACATCTGATATTATGTGAGGAAAGTGGCAGTTTACCTCTGTGGTCTTCCTCCCCATCTTGTTGCAGAAAAACATCAGACCAACTCAAATAGTGGGACACCCTAAAAAGTACCTGATCCGTGCTCCTCAAAACTGTCAAGGTCATCAAAAACAAAGGAAGTCTGAGAAACTGTCACAGCCCAGAGGAGCCTAAAAAGACATAAGTAAGTGTAATGTGGTTCCTTAGATGGGATCCTGGAACAAAAAAAAAAGACATTAAGTAAAAACTAAGGACATCTTAAACTATGGGTTTTAGTTAATAATGATATACCAATAAAAGTACTTATCCATAACTGTAACAAATTATGCAAATATACTACCATAAGATGTTACCAATAGGAAAAACTGGGTGGGGGATATTTGAGAACTCTTTGTAATACCTTCTCAATTTTTCTGTAAATATAAAACCATTCCAGTGAAGTCTACAAATAAGAAAAAATATCCTAAAAAAGTGTACTAACCCTTGTCATCATTGATGTCTTTGTTGTTCAATGAAATAATGCTTGGCACAGCACTGAGCATGTTCTAAGAGCCCAACAAATGTTGTGTTTTTATCATCATCATTGTAAGTCTAGACACTTAGCACATGCAAAGGCACTGGAGTTTAGGGTGGAAAGGGAGATGGGAAACAGAATCCTGAAGGCTGAGCTAGGGTCTTTATAAGGGATTTCTGGGGGAAGGTTACAGGCTGTAGCCCATCTCTGCCTCACCAACTTCCTGCCTAACCACCAGGAACGCTGTGCTCCAGGCAGACAATGAGCTGCCCTCTCTCTTTGCTATCCCTTCTATGGACTTAGCACGTGTTGTTCCCTCTGCCTGGAACACTCTCCCTTGCCCTTTCACCCCACCTTTCTTGGTCACCTTCAACTCATCCTTCAGCTTTATCTTAGACATTCTCTGAAAAGCCTTGTCAGCCTTTCTAAGATACTGTTAATGTGGTCTAAATGGAACCTTTGTGTGCTGAGGTGCAAGAAGCCAAAGATGGAGAGGCTGAACTCACTTTGCCACTAGTACCCATTTCTCTCTCCCCCCAAATCCAGCCACACTAGATGCTGCCCCTTTCCTGAACACACCATACACCTTCATGCCTCCCAGCCTCTGCCCATGCTTTCCCTCTGCCTGGGATCCTTCATCTTTTTCTCCCCATCTCTTATCTCTTTATCAGACACCTACATATCAAGGCTCAGCTCAGACTTCACCTTCTCATGAAGCCATTCTAGAGCCTCTGCACAGGAAAAGGCGCTTTCCTCACGCTTTCCTCGGGCTGTGGTCCTCTAGCCCCACTGCTGGTGAAGCACTTACCATGATGCACTAGAAGAAATGTTTCTGAATGGATGGTCAAGTAATGGAGTGGACAGCAAGCCCGCTCTCATCATCTCCAATTCTTAAAATCCTCCTTACTGTCTTCCAGGAAGCCCTCTAGGACTGCTCCAACCCACTAACCTCCCTCCCTCTTCTTTAACTCTTACAACTTAGCTCCTGATTATATTCTAACTATTGTGTGCATAAGTATCTGTCCCTTGGATTAGTGTAAATTCTTTGAAGAAGGAACCATGTCTTACATACTGTTTTTTTAATACTCATTCATTCACTCATTCAACAAATATTGACAAAGCACCTACTTCTACATAGCAGCTCGGGTCCCAAGCACTGGAGAGGCAGTGAGTAAGACCCTGCTCTAATTAGGATAAATAATTAGGAGAAACCAGATTATGCTGCAGTAACAAAGAACTCTGAAACCTCAGTGACATAGCACAAGAGTAGTTTATTTCTCACTTGTGTCACATGCCCATCATGCGTCTCCTGCTCTAGTCACTCAAAAACCTAGGCTGAGGAATCCTTGCCATCTTGAAGCTGCCTCCTCTGGAACATATGGACCTTCTTAGTTACCACAACAGGAAAAGAGAGACTGGAGAATCATGCATGGGTTTGCACTCCTTCAGCCGGGCAGGGACATGCATTACTTCTCACCATCCATTGGCCAAGTTTAGTCTCATGGTCCTGCCCAACTGCAAGGGAAGCTGGGGAGTACAGTATTCCTCTGGACGGAGAGGAGAAGCAGACATTGGTGAGCTTGCCCACAGTGTTTCCTGAGACAGAATTTAACAAATAATCACTCAAATAATTATTTAGTTAGTCATAAAAACTGTCCAGGAGAGGTTTTAGGTATCTGGGGAGTGGGTAGGAGATCAGGGAGAGCTTCCCAGAGGAAGCGACATTTAAGCTGAGACCAGGGAAGAGATGAAAGAACAGTGTGTGAAGGGGCTAGGAGGAGCCCGGCGTGTGGCAGGGCCAGAGGACAACGGAGGAGGGAGGAATGGAGTGAGGGGAACTGTGAAATGACACTGGGGGCGAGGCATCCCAGCCATCCCTGGTAAGGATTTAGGGTTTTAACTTGAGAGCAATAAGAAGTCAGGGGGCAGCGGGCTTTAAGCAGAGGAGTGAAGGGATCAGATTTCTTTTCAAAAGGTTCGTGTGGCTGCTGGGGAAAGAATGAACTGGAATGAGGACAAAGTAGAAAAGCCGGGAGGCTAGCAGGAGACTTTCAAAGTCTTCCAGGTAAACATGGTGGCATTAGCAGGATGGAAGGAAGTGGATAAATGTTGGACATCTTAAGGAGTGGGGTCACCAGAATTTGGTGACTGATAGATGTGGGCAGTGAGAAAGCAGGTGTCCAGGTGAGTCCCAGGCTCTGCAGCTCCCCTGATGCCAAGCCCAGACTGGCTTCCTAGCACTGCATCCCCAGCCTGTTCACAGAGGAACCTTGATGCCCCCAAATTTCCATCTTCCTCTCCTTGCCCTCTACTCAAGCTAGCCCCCTCATCACCCATCAAACTGGGGTGTACCACCTATCAGCAGTAAAACACCCTCAAGCACCAACATACATATGCTTCCTAATCAGAGAGTTAGAGTCCTGGAAAGGGGGCTGGCAGAGATGTCATCTCCCACTTCACAGTGGGAAAACTGAGGCCCCCAAAAGGCGAATGCTTAGCTAGATCTTAGAGCCAGGCTGCCAGATGAGGTCTCCTGACTCCTGGCCAAGAGCTCCTCCCACTGAGGCACCTGGTGTGTGGTGGGCTCTGTGT